AGTTAGGAAAACCTTCCACTCGGTAACAACTTGATTTAATATAATGGTGATTGTTGACCCAAAAAAAAACTCACAACTGTACTGAAAACTAATTAGTTCATTATTTACACATCCTTCTTATTATTTGATAATCATATCAAAACCACCGTTTCCATCAAGGTATAAGTAAGAACACCAACTTTTTCTATTTCTAAAAAAACTACAGATAAAGCTAAAGAGATCATACAGTTGAAGAAGGCTCATGAGCTCATTCTCTCTTTTATCGATAGTCTTGTATCGATCTTATGCAACAACTTCATGTAACCATAAAATTAACTGCAACAGAAAATAGAAACGTAAATTAGCAACAAATTTGTAGAAAGAGAAAATTGGTAGTTTGTAAGCAGTTGGCGATCTAGCAAGAGGAGTAGCAATAGCATAGTGAGAGAAAACCACAGCGATATGTCTCACAATATTAGTTCTTGAGCCTATGAATCCATATGAGACAACGCTTTTTTTTTTGCTATGTCATGCATGGTAATCCTTGGATTGAAACACCACCAGGTATGAGTTCTTGATAGCTTGCGTTTAAAATAAATCTTTTGTCGTAAATTGTATAAAAATGAATAAATAATAAGTGAAAACCGAACAAGTAGACATAGAACATGAACTAATATTAAGAACTATTAATTCTTCCACAAACAGTATTATCAAAGAAAATCAATATAGTTAACATTTAATTGACACAAATGCCTACAGGTCGTACAATGTTCTACACCTATGAAATTAACTAAATTTGAATGAAATCTCCAAGTGGTGAAGACCACAGTACAATTCAGACGCAACCAAGGATTCATCAGACTAAGGGGAATATAGCCAGCCGCATGAAAGAGAGAAGTTAACGCCGGGGGAAGGGAAAGAGTTCAGAAGTTATGATAGATTACTCACAGAATGCTACAAGGCTGGATACATTCATGATCATCAGACGGTAAAAATATCCACTGATATTCTAACGCTTAACATCTTATCAAATAGCTCTACCACCAGAAACATAAAAGGATTGATTTTACACTAAGATACAGTTCTTTTTGCAGATTATAGTGATTTTTGCAGATTATAGAGTTAATGCTCTATATGTTAATGGAAGCTGCAAAATCCTACCAACATTTTAAAATGTATTGCTTGCCTTCTCTATCCGAGAAATTCCAAAAGGTTCAACAGCAAAACAGAAAACATAGTTGCTATACAGTTAACATAAAATCTAACTAAGTCTCATTGTGTTCCCATTCCATCGACAAACATAAGAAACACTTTATGCACGTTAAACAAAATCTCAACAAAACTTAATGATTCTCCTGAAAGAGCATGACAGGCAGACTGAATACAACCTATTTTAGACAGTTATCATAACATGAAAGGAGACGCACCTGTTTATTGAAGTAGTGACATGATCGCAAAGACGACGGAAACAGTGCAAACCAGTTAGCTTATCCACAGCCTAATTAAGAAAGTGGAAAACCATTTTAGCTTGTTAAGAAAGAGCACCGTAAGCATCTAAAAGTATCCAACATCAGTCGCAGCTGAACTTACCAACAAGTTTTGGAGATCGCCAGTTATATATCAAAAGCTCTAGCACAAACTGCAGGCGAAAAAGTCG